CCAGCCCTGTTTCAGTGAAACTCATCACAGCTGATGGTTCTGAGGTCCTGCACGCAACCTCCCTGGCCAAGGTTAGAAACCAGGTGTGACTTTCACTCTGGGCACTGAGGCATAACGCAAAACTGAAGATCAGAAAATCGGTCTTGGCCACAGGATCCCATCCCACCAGTACAAATATCTGCACAGAAAGGTCACTAGCTGGAGGCCAGTTCTGGGATCTAACTACGCCCTGAGCAGGCGCATCTTCCTGTCCGCAGATGTCCCTTAATTCCAAAACCTCCAGCCCAGCTGTTACACCCCCCCTTAAAAAGATCCTTGCAGTTTCCTTGCCAACCCAGGAGCTGCAGATCAGCGGTTATTAAAAAAAATCACATACGATTTGCTCTCCCACCCCAGCCCGTGTTTCCAGGAGAGTAGAAGCCCATCAGGGAAGGGTCCTTGCTGGAGTGTGGGTCCAGCTTCACCATCCAGGCGTCACCTATCAGAGGACACCTGGTCAGTGTCCTGCGACACGTTAGGAGAAGGGTCTCCTGAAGGCAGGGCCATTCCAGTCCCTCAGTCCCCCCCCGGGCGAGGTCACGGGTTTCTCAGCGCCAGATCGAGAAGTGATTTTTTTTCCCCCATTTACATCATATTTGCAACTATGAGCGCAAACATTCGCGGACACACGGAACTCAGGTTTCAGGAAGGAATGATTCCCAAGACTGAGAAACGGTTCTTCCTGAAGCCTGAATTCAACATTCCCTACAGCACAGAAAGATACCATTTATTTGGTAGAGGTAACTTCTGAAAGTCGTCTAAGGTGCTAATCTGATGTAAATTTCTCCACTATTTACAGGTACTTATACACACCTGGTAACATAACGCAGCATAAATGAAACCACAATTGGATAAACTGCAACTGATGGTCTTCAAACTAACAGCATGTCAGGGACTAGGGGGTGTGTGATTAAAGGCTAATTAGAAGCTTATCTAGGCTAAAAAGCAATAGAAGTGTCAGCCTAAAAGTGTCAAAACTACTAAGTATTCTTGTACAGACTACTTCCAAAAAGGTCTAACCTACATTAGCCATTGTTAAATTAGCAAATACATTTCTGATTTCTACAAACGCAGTAGGTACCCGTGGGCCCACACTGAAATTTCAAAGAGAAAACGGCTAAACCTTTTTATTTGTATTTAAAGAATTGGCATAGGGATTTAAAGTTCCTTTTTGCAATCGTGTTTACACCAATGTGCCTTAGGGAACCCTTTCCCCAGGCAGAACACCTGAATTTTAACTTGATTTTCATTTACACCACTCTGGGAGAAAAAAAAAAGTCTGTGGGCCAAGAGCCAGATTTTGAACTTTGAATCATGTTTATCCCTGTGAATGAAACACAAAACCGACGTGTGGGGAAAACAGAGCACTGGAAAAGCATGAACGGCATTTGAAGAAAAACATCATTCACATAATTGTGCGGACCTGACAGAAAATAAACCGGCTGGGAAGGAAGTTAAAGCACACAGCCCACTGAGTTTAGACGGAAATGGTGAGGAAAATCCAAACACGGCACACCCTGTAACTAAACACAGAGAGGGCCCTGTCTCACAGGAGCTTTTCCTTCAGGGATCAGAGCACAGGGTGGGGCTGCCAGAGGGTACACCTCACTGAGCCCCCCTCCTCCGGGCGCACTCACAACATGGCAGAGCACCTACAGCACAAGCCACCCCCACGGACCCCAAAGCACGGCCATCTTTTATTGTGCTCGCTC